AAGTTGTGATACCAGATCATTGCTCCTTTTGCGAGGGTCTCTCCGAACTTTTTCAATAATACGAGCTCGATCTCATCGTCTTTCAAATCGTTGCCTTTGATGGCATATGTATAGGAGGTGAGATGTTCGTTAGGATCGGTCGTACCGTTATATTTGGGAATTACGGGCATCCAGAACTTTTTTGGGATCGGTTTTGGGGCCACGCTCGATGGAAAAGGCTTTTGTATGAATTTCTTCGAATCCAACCCTTTCATCATGGGCGGAGCCCTCGGGATCTGATCGATCCTAGCATCATATGTTTCGAATTTTTTGTCGTTGGCTTCGACTCGTTTTGTGAGTTCCTCGAGCAGTTTAGCAATTTCAGGAGCGGTTCCTGATTTTCGCTCGTTCGATTTCACTGTGTCGGGCTCTGTTCTAGGGGTTACTTCTCGAAGAAGTGGATTGGAGTTTGGATTACTTTGCATATGAGTTTGGCTCTGCAACTGAGCTATCGCTACTTGTTGGGCTTGTAGCATTTCGAAAATCATACGCAAGCTGACCCCGATTTCCCCCGTGTTGTGGGTGTCTCGGGCTATGGGTCGAGCGCCACCCTGAACGCTTCTTTCCTGCTCGGAACGCTGATTCGCTTCTAGAGCTATTCGTGAATTGATATCTACTGGTACTTCGGCTCGAATTTCGGGTTCCTCGATTCGAGCCTCGTTGCCGTTGTTGGGTAGCCTTTTGGACACGGGCACCAAGTTGTTGGTTTCATCCTGAAGGCCGGCTTCGAGGTCGATTGGCAGAGCCATTGCTGGTATGAAGTTGTAAGCTGGAGTGTACTGTATATTTGTATCAAATAATCACTTATTATCCTTAGTCCCACGGTGGGCGCCAAACTGTTTACCCGAAAAATTGGATAACGTTGAATTTATGTATGATTCTAAGGGTAAGTAGATTCCTTTGATCTGAAGATAACAATACACGTATTTGTGACGCAAAATAGAAAATGATGAACAAAGATACTTAGTGAGCTTTAGAAAGATAAACACAATCAATCCTTAATCCCATGGAAGATGTCTTCTATTACAATCTATCTTGCCTTTTATAGCCAAGGATCACTACTTTATCTATAGCAATATAATGGAATAATATTACTAGTGGAGGATCCATGATGGTGTGTCTTCTCCTTAATTCCCGCCAAGATTCTCTTCTTTGTTGCGGTTGTAACAGCTTTTTGTCTGTGAGTTCGATACCGACTCGAGCTCGGTGTCGGATCGGAACCTCGGCCTTGGTTTCGAGCTTGGTGATCACTTTCGGGCATCGATGTTCGGGACCTGTATCGGTCGATGTTACCTCGGTCGATTCGGATGCCCCCATCTCGGAATTCGTTCGGGTTCTTCATGAAGATACCCCTTGACTGAGATGCCATCCTCGATCGATCTTTATGATCGAGGATCGGTTTTAACCGTATACACCATCAAATACGTATGTTAATTAATGCCCGACCGAAATTCTAGAAGGAGCAGAATTAAACACTACTCATTCTGTTTCAATTTAAACTGACACACTTTCTTTATTAGTTTGTTACAAAAATAATGACACATTTTTATATTTAGAAATAATTTAGCTTTAAACTTTTTATTTTATCACTTTACCCTTAATGAGAAACTTTTATAGTTACACAAATATCATGGCTCCACTAAGATTTTGCCCCTTAAGCTTTTAGCACCACATGTTTCAAAAGTCTCTTTTTTTTCTTAAACTTTGTGCTAAGTTAAACTAAATCATCTAAATTGAAACGGGGGAGTACGAGTTAGTACTCCCTTCCATTTCAATTTATGTGAACCTATTTCACAAGGCACAAAGTTTATGAAATAAATGAAAGACTTTTGAAGATTGAGGTCCTAAACAAAGCCATAATAATTATGTGGCCAGTGACGTAGCCACCTTTTGTTAAGGGTGGTCAAGCGCACACTCTTCGCCGAAATATTATATTGCGTATATAAGTTAAATATTACTTTATATGGTTATATTTTATATTTTGAACACCCTTAACACAATTGAGTGAGACAGGCCAGCGGTTCAGGGTGTTCAAAGTGACGTGTTATTCACGGGTTCTTTTGCAATCTAAAATAATTCCTAATAAAATAACTCTTAAAACTTAAAGTTTGTATAGAAATAAACAACTAATCTTAAAAGTAATCTTTTTAACTAAAAAGAAATTTCCTAAACAAATTTTATAATTTAAAAGTTAAGATCTACAAAAAATTTGGTACACCATTCATCGGCAAACAAAAATTATTGACTTGTTTAAAGTTTGAACACCATTGATGAAATTCCTGGCTACGCCACTATATGTGGCTATAATTATTTTGAAATTTATTGTCCTAAACATGCTATAATATTTGTTTGGCTATAAAAAGCTTTTCATTAAGGCTAAAATTAAAAATCTATTTAAAATTATTTTCAAATTAAGAAAGGAATCATTCTTTTTTCTTTTTAGGAAGAACTAAAAAGGAAATATTTGGAGAGAGTACGTTGTTAAAGACATGATGTATGTGATGGTGTAATAATTTCAATAGCTAGCAAGCTGAAGAAATACACGATGCTACAACACTTTTCCATTGAAAAGACGGGCTTTATATTACATAATGGAGTATGCTATGAAGTATTCTGAAATGCTCTTACCTGAACTGATTAGTGTGCAGAAGCCTGCCATCAGATAAGATAATAGCATCCACCTCTCTGTTCTGATATAATAAAGCAGGATCAGTAACAACGACGTTCCTTTTCTTCACTGAGGCAACAATAACTTGTGCCAATCTAATCAAAGGACTTCCTCCTGGTTTTACTTTTCTGTAAAGAGATGACCCTACGACAAAAGAAACAATTGATAATGCCATGGCAATGGTAGGAAGTCCTAGACCCAAACCCCAACTCACATTGTCTTGGATATAGACTACTATGGTTAGAGCAGCAAGTGTAGCCACTCCTATGCAGAAATAATACCAGTTGTAGAAATTCCAACTTTGAGACTGATCATGTTTAGATTTTTTCAAGTCAAATTGGTCAGCAGCAAAGGTGACAACGCAAGGCCTAAGTCCCCCAGCACCTATAGATGTCAGGAGAAGACAAACATAAAGAACCCAAAGCTGCAGATGGGAAGCTTCTACGCAGTTCTGCTGTGTTGGACATGGTGGAGGACGGAGCTGTGGCATGATTGCTGATATGGTAATACTTATCATCCCCTGCAAACACACACACATATAATTGAGAATTTTGTTCTTTTACCGATTGGATGAATCACAAAAAATTAAATGTACATACCAGCTCATAAATAATGGAACCAATGATAATTATCCAAAATCGGCCGGCATAAGAATCAGCAATAAGAGCACCAATAAGTGGAGTGAAACTGGAAGTGCCAAGAAAGGCAAGTTTAGCACCTGTGTCAGGTATGTTATCATGTTGGCATGAAAACCAACGCCGGCAAATCGGTCACATACTTCATTTGCTGTCACGGAGAATAATCAGCTCTATCAATTCATAATTAATTAAGCTATAGCTATTTTATACATTTGCATTTGGCCCAAAAATAACAAGTGAATGAAAAGAGAGGTAATTACTAACCGAAATTAAAGAAGATAAGTCTTTCCGATGACAAGAGTAAATGCAATGTTCAAGTGTTCCAATTGAGCATAATAAGAGAATATATCATAGCTTGTGTACAGGATGTTTCATGTCCCTATAATAGGTGTTAATCCTTCTATTTATAATTCTAATCAGGGAGACAAGATCCTCAAATCAAGCTCCTATTGAATGAGAATAAAATCGCCATTGATGGCTGCATAACGGTTGGTCTTGAATATTGATATTCTCTATAACGGCTGCTCATTAAATGTACCTGATATCGAATCTTTGAATCTTTATTGCCAGCTACTCTGCCTTCGGGATCCAACAAACACCGGCCACACACTCGCGCCCGGTGCCAGTCATCTGCTGACTCACGTTCTACCTATCTTTTGTTCCACGTGTCATCCCATCATTCCGCCAACTGTCACTGACCAATTTTACCCAATACAGATAGTCCCCCTACTTTCCGGTGATACAACTCGGCGTTACCGGGAAGTAGATAAGAGTTCTTTTCTTGGCGGAAAAGTTTCTGAGCGGTCTCTGAAACTTGAAAAGACGTACGTCTTCTCGCATTTAATAACCCGAAAACATGTTGTTCCGTAATTCAGCAAGTACTTTGCCAGTTTTCGAGATAATTATGACCACGATTTTTGCCGTCTATAACTTCTCCACTACTCATCATTTTTATTCTTTACTTTCACAACTCTTAGAACTCCTTCTTCTTCGCTGAATCTCCCTAGAACTTTTCAGCAACACTCAACTTCCTCAGTAAGAACTTCTTCACAGATCTTTTACCACCATGTCTTCTTATACTGCTATCTCCGAAAATGCTAGCCTTATCTTCGGTGGAAGCCCAAAGAAAAACAAAACCAAAGAGGTTGACGTTGATTCTGAACCTCCAACCGTAAACACCATCATACTACTTCGTCTTAGCACAGAATCTGATCTCCAAGAACACAAACCACCTCCGAACTCAAAAAGCGACAGGTTCTGGCCTGTCCGTAGATATCCTTCTTCCATTCGCCCTTCTAACATCCCTGTTGTGAAGGAGGAATGCAACTGGGATAACGTCAAAATTCTTATCCCTGATGAGGTAGAACGAGTTACCTACTCGAAGTCGGGGTTCACGTATGTCTACACATACCCCTTTACTTTGGGTCCTTTCACCTTGGGAGTGGGTGAAGGAATTGCCCCAATAATTATAGAATTTTGCCATCGGTACTAAGTTTGCTTGGCACAAGTAGGCCCATCCATATGGCATACGGTGGTCTGCCTCCGCCAACTATGCACTGAAACTGGGGAAACCCTTACCTTTGCGCATATGATGAATCATTACTCCCCAAAGATCTTCCGTGGGGGTGCACTGAATCTCAGCAAGCGTGGCCACCATGCCCTTCTTACCAGTGTCAATGACGACAATGACCGTGGATGGATGGAACGGTTCATTATCATTGCTACTAGGGACATCATCCCGGCTACAGCGCCAATTTTTCCCGAATCATGGAACCTTTTCTGTAAATCTTCGTCTACTTGTTTCTTTTCGTGAAAAACTTTCTCCTTAACTGACATTTTATTTTCTTCATTGTTTTCGTTCCATCTACTCGCTGGGAACCATCACGGGTTTAAGACCTTAGCCGATGGGTATAGAAGATTCTGGATATTACTACTCTAGATTTCCGAAAGTGGAAAGAGATGGCTCCCAAATACGGGTGGAGAGCCAAGAACCATGATATGTAAGGAATTATTATTTATTTCAATCTCAACAACATAGGAGCAATTTGTTAACTGTTCTTTTGTTCCACACAGGACTTCCGAATGGTTTTGTCGTGTGCCCCGACATCGAGGCTCTCGATGACCCTGAGGAGGCCAAACGGGTATTGCAAAGTTCCCTTAACCGGAGTAGGGATCGCGGATCTGCTCGAGCCTCCGTTGAGAGTGCCTCCTCTCGGAGCCCCAGTCTAAAAGTAAGAAACCAAAGAAGAAGCATACCTCCTCGACTGGGGCTCAGGAGAAGAGAGTGAGAAGATCATCAACTGAAATAGTCACACTGGTTATTTATGAGGATGAAGGGGCTAATGATGAAGGCGCCCCTCTTCAAAGAAGAAAAAGTTCTTCATTAACTCAACCGGGTGCTCAGCTGGTAGAGCTTCAAAATCCATCGTTAGAGGAAGTTCAAGCACTCTAAGGACAAATGGGTTCGGTTGAAAATGTTGATTCCCACTTTCTGATCCCTGCCGATGTCCCCGATCTGAGAAGTTCATCCCCTGACCTTCCTCTGTCACCGACTATTGAGCCAGCCACAACTGCCACGCCTTCTACAACAATTGTTTCTTCTCCATCTACACCAACAACTCCTTATCCAGCGACACCAGCTATCCCTTCTCTACCAGCACCGGCTGCTTTTTCTCCACCGGCATCAACAAGTAAGGAATGCCTCTCCTCCACGGTCTTCCAACCACAGGAACTTGGGAAATACTTACTCAACCCCTTCTTAAGATCCTCGTGGGAGGCGAAGTGCCAGTCTTTCGATTTCAAATGAGTGCCATATTCTCTCCAAGTCGGTGGAGCTTGGCAATTACCTGAAGCTACTGGCATCAGCGAAGGATTGGAAAAAGATGGACTCCCAATCTAGGGAGTGCCTAATAAATAACAACATGCATTGCTCGGCGCGGGTAGCAACCTCACCTCTCTTTATCTTTTTTCGATTTATATTTTTGAAGTAATAAATTCGATTCTATCCCTTCTTCAGGCCAATCTTCTTTCATTTAAGGGCCTGCTGAGGTTGATCCTGGATAATCAATGGCTTGGCTCAGAACGAGATCAACGTTTGGCTGAAAGGAATCAGCTCGTTGAGTGCCTCCCGGGGTTGGAGGCCAATATCGCTCAAATGATGAGCTCGAGCCCGGCTGCAGCAGTGTCAACAAGATAGGATAGCTCATAGCCAAGAAGCAACCCAGCTACATGAGAACCTTAAGGAAGCAAAGGCTAAGTGGGTTGAGCTTCACGATGTTGTGACTGCTGCCGAGCGTGAGTCAACCTTCATTGAACAAGTTAATAACTTGGAGGATGGCTTGTATGCCAAAACTGAGGAGGCCAATGCTGCCGAGGAGAAGAGGGCAAAAATGGAAGAGAGACTCAAGAGAGTCATGGAGCAGAACCGAATTTACTCAACCACCAACATTGAGATTGATTCCAAGACTAGTGCAATGAAGGCTGAAAACGAAGAGCTCCAAGCCAAATTTGACAAGCTCCGAGCCAAAATCCAGGACCAAGAAGAATGCCTCGTCTTGGAGAAGACCTACGCCATGTATCCAAAGTAGGCATTACTAATATTGGTGACAGCATTGACAAGGCCCGGGAACAGGAGTTAGCACCTCGTGAGAACCTTCCTGCTTGTCTCACTGCATCTGATTCCTCGAATACTAATTCTAAGTATTCGGAATTCGAATGAGAAACCAAAGAAGATGAAGGCCCCGAACCGACAGCGGAACAACCTTCTTCCACCAAAGAAAATGAAGACCCTTCTCGCCCTTTGGGTTCCGGCAGCAAAGAATGATGTATAAATTTTTCTTTTAACTTTTGTAATTATGTCAAAACTTTTTATTAAGTTTTGGCACTCTGATTACTGAACAAAACTTTTTTTCCTAAGTGTTGTACAAAAACATTCCTTTTCATTTAATTGAGAAAGCTTCGGGAATATTTTCGCATCATACCCTTCGATTTCGGGCATAAATTCTTCTAGAATTTACCCTTTACTATGAGGGTTTTATAAGAGAGGACCCTTATGTTTACATTGCTCTTGAAGAGGACATCTCATGTTCATTCTGGTACAAGCATTTGAAGTTTTTGTTAACTTTCAAACGGTAAAATAAATTGACTTATAAATCGGACAAGAAATAAGATAAGAATAAAAAAGGCTTTGATTTATTTTCTCTATCTTGAAAAGTACATTTACATAAACATTTATTTGTTTAAGTAAATAAAGCTGCCAATACATGTGGCTAACGTGTACAACTTATTTCTACGGAGATGATCACGCAGTCCCCGGTCCTGATAAGATATGGACTCCAGTTCTAACAGTCCCCAATTTACGTGGCACTCTTGGTGTCGTATCAAGTATTACTGCCCCCTAGTGTACATTTATATGTTCGAATGCTAAGTATAAGAGTAAATGCAATGTTCAAGAGTTTCAATTGAGCGTAATAAGAGAATAGATCATAGCTTTTGTGTACAAAATATTTCATGTCCCTACAATGGATGTTAATCCTTCTATTTATAATTCTAATCAGGGAGACAAGATCCTCAAATCAAGATCCTCTTGAATGAGAATAAAATCGTGATTGATGGTTGTATAACAATTGGTCTTGAATGTTGACTTAGGAGAAATTGATTAAAAAAAAATTATTAATAATTTTGCATTTAAAAAAAATTAGAAAATAGGCTTCAAATAAACAAAATAAATTTTTTTTTTAAAGTTAAAGGCCCTAATAAAATTTGGCTTTAGGCCACAAAATTCGTCAGGGCGCACTGCTAATTGGATCCGGCTCCTCTTCATTTCCCTTAACTTCAATTTCTCAAGTTGTTATTCGGACGGGTGCTACAATACTGCACGTCCCCTTTTAGTATCGGTGTTCGAGTTTAGCTAATTAAAGCTCCGGCCTAATCATGGTTGGAATAATAGATATTCTTATTATTTGCTCCCGAAATGTTCCGTAATCCTATATTTAGCAGAATATATATCCACATCCATAAATATGTTAAAGGCCTATATAATAATTTCAAAAAGATTATAGTAAAATAAAAAAGAATTGTAGCTACATTTTCAAATCTAAAAGTGCAATTGTTCCCATTGAGCTTTCGATCCGCTACCAAGTTTGTGTT